CACTCGCAAAACAGCTAATTTTGCATCATCCAAATCGCTGACCTTCAATCGATATTCTTGGTGACGTTTGCTTGTGTTCTGGGTAATAAGTTCTATCAACAGGAGCGAACACAAACATCTGGATAGATTTTGTAGGTTCTATTTACTGGATAAGAGATATGTACACAAGGGGAGTAGCGCTCCTCAACCTGTCTGCTCGTCAACTGCTCTATAGGCGACGTATGGCAAGTGACACACTAACAGCTTCCATATGTCGCCAGGCACATTAATTAAGCATGTGGGACATGGTAATTACATTGCCACACGCTGCTAGCTAGGCTGAATAAATAATATATATAAATGGAGCACATACAAAATATACATACATAATATATAATACAGAATACATAATATACATACACCTCCCTCCCCCCTATACGCTCATAGCAAAGTCTTGAGCGGACCTTTTCTTTTGGATCCATTCTGAGCGTCGAGGGACTCGATCACTGGGAAGGGTATGGGACTCAACACTGGTGGCGGGGTCAGCAGAAGGCATTGTTACGGGGTGGAGAGAACGGCGGTTCCTCCACCACACACGACCACTGGGTAACCGCACCTGGTAGTCCTGTGACCTACCGAGACCCATGACTACGCCCACTTTGTCCCAACGTAGGGAGGTCGGGTCCTGAACACGGACTTGGGTGCCGACACTCAACCTGGGGAGAGAACGGGCGTGGTCGTTGTAGCGGGCGACGACGTCTTGAACACGTTCGGCGGCTCGGAGATCACAATCCTCTGTCTTGGCCTGCCACTCCTTGGAGAAGGATTGAGGGTGAGCAGGGACACAAGAACGAAGGGGGCGTCCATGCAAAACCTGGGCAGGGGAGCGTCCGATGTAGTTAGGTGTGTTGCGGAGTTCAAGAAGACCCCGGTCGAAGGCCTCGCAGTCGATATTCCCAGAAGGGGCCACCTTAACGATGAGGTGCTTCAGGGATTTGACAGCAGCCTCAGCGTGGCCGTTGGACTGCGGGTAATGGGGCGATGACAACACATGCCGGACTCCCCATCGGTCAAGGAACACAGCAAAGTCCCGGCTTGTGAAATGAGGCCCTCCGTCGGTTCGCAGGCGTACAGGAACGCCCACGTCACGGAAGTAGTGGCGGAACTTGCTGATGGTGGCGGCAGACGTGGTGTCATTACCGCACTTGATGACAACCGGCCAACCAGAGAGACGGTCGACGATAACAAGGAAGGACTTTCCTGACACAGAGAAAAAGTCGGCCGACACAGACTCAAAGGGGCGGGTGGGGTTGTCGTCACTCATGAAGGGTTCCTGCTGCTAGCTGGGTTGTAGTACGTGGCAGGGCTTACACACCTGGACAGTATTGGAGATGTCGGGGTCGATGCCAGGCCGGAACACAGTCTGTCTTGCACGCCGTTTGGTGGCCTCGGCTCCACAGTGACTGTCGTGGAGGCGAGCCAAGGCGTGGAGACTTGAAGCAGCAGGGACAACTACCGAAGGAGAGGTGTCACTGGCCAGAGGTAGGGGTAGGGCGGCAGCAGGGTAGTTGCTGCTCCCTTCGTGCACCCTGTTGGCGTATTTTACCTCGAGAATCGGTGTTGGGAAGTCCTGGGAGATGATGGCCAACTCTTGGCAATGTCTGTAGGACAGCAAAGGAGTCGGGACACCGTTATGCACATCAATCCAGGCTTGACACGACCTGTTGCCAAAGGTGACTTGTGCTTGGAGTGAACCTAGGGCTGGGGCCATCTGTGAACCATCTGCCGTAAAGCGGAGATCCTTGGGGGGCGGTCCTAGATCACTTGGAGAGAGCCCCAAGCATTGCAAATGCTGGGGACCGATGACTGTAGCATCAGCGCCGGTGTCGGGCAACATCTGAAGACGGGATGACACACTGCGGTAGGTCACAATGACACTGATGTACTGGGGGACTTTGGTCCTGGGACGCGGGGGGGAGCACACATTCCTAATATGGCTCGAGCGTTGTCCAGGGTCGTCACGCTTCTGATTGGAAGACTGTGGGCGGCCCTCACTGGTGGAAGGGCGCTGAAGCTTCCGCCGACGCTGTCCCTTGGGTTTGTTGGTCGGACAACACTTGTCATGGTGGCCCAGACGACCGCACACATTGCACTGGACGTACTTGGCTGGGCACCGTACTGTGAGTGACCAGTGGCCCTTAGGGTCACAACTGTTGCAGGTAGACTCTGCAGCTGGACACACCTGTGTTCCGTGCTGCTTACCACAGTTGTTACAAAATGAACCGGGCGTGGACGTGGAGGGCGAAGGCGTAGGAGCAGACTTCTTGTCCTTCTTGTACCGGGACACAGCGCGTACAGCTGTAGGGGGAGCTCGGATGGCAGAGGTGGCACACATGGCAGCCTCATAGGAGCGACATATCGTCAAAACATCCTTAAGAGAAGAGGAAGAGTCGAGGGAGGTGAGGCGTTGGACAAGCTCCTCGTCCTTAACACCCATCAGGATCACCTGCTTCAACTGGGTCTCCTCGCACTGCTGGTGGTGGCCTAGGCATACATCTACCTCTTCCGAGGCTCTCTTGAGTCGTACATAAAAGGCGTCAAAAGTCTCGCCCTCCATCTGTCTGCAGCTAAACAATTCCCTCCTGCGCAGAGCTTCATTCTGCTGTCCTTTGATGTGCCATTGTAGAATGTCCAGTACCTCCTCTACAAACAACGAAGAGGTCGGAGGTACCTGCCACGTATGTTCTAAGACACGCTGAATTTCCAAGGAGAGGCATATACGCAGCTGGATGAGTTGTTTAGGCTGTGACAAACTCTGGAGATCCACCATTGTAGAATAATCAGTCCACCGTCGCCGCCATTCACGAAAAGTCTGGAAATTCACATCAGGCTTCAAGATGGGCGGTGTTTGAGCTGCTGCTTTAGGTGGGGCTGGGGGGCGTGAAGAGAGCATTGATGAGGTATCTGAACCAGTCAGTACCGAGGCAGTGTTAGAGCCAGGGGCTTGGTTAACAGTGAGGCGAGATATCAAGGCTTCAAACCGTGCACTGTCTTCCAATCTCCGTTGGTGGTCTCTCTCTGCCTCTGCTTGTTTTCTGCGTTCGTCCGCCACACGTCTGTTAGCTTCATCCTCGCGCCTTTCATCTCTCATAAACTTCATTAAAGCAATTATCTCTGGAGACAACGCTGAATATTGAGGTGAAAGGCTGCGAGATGTAGTTGGAGCTGGAGAGTAATGGTCAGCCTGGTCATCCATCTCTACGGAGTTATCATCCGACTGACTCATCCGGGCGCTGGCTCCACGGCTATGTAAGGCACGAGACATAACTACTTCATATGTGTACTGTGTCTAAATCAGTGTTGACCGGTCAGCCCGTCGTATCAACAAGATCTCACAATAAATTAATTAAATACACAGATAAGTAGATTATATATATAAAATATATATAAGGGAGCCGCCGATGTCAGTGATTGTGTGTGCGGGGCGGGCGATAGCGTCTCGCCATGAGGGGCCTCGAGCTGTGAGGGGGTGTGGAGACAATAGGAGCGTCAGTTACACCCGAGGCATGACGAGGGGAGGATGTGAAAAACGTTACTCCTTACAAATGCCCAGAACATGCCGTGTACCTTGGGAATCCTTTAGAACAAGGTCACACATGTATGGCACAAAACACACAATGCACTAAACACTGCACAAAAAATCACTGTCACTGACACTTCTCAAAGTTGCTAAATTCTTCGAGGAGGGGTGTCGGGTGCCGGTTGGTTGACACAGGGCAAGGGGTCCATAAGCCAGCTTTCCCACAAAGTTTGCACTTTCACTCGTAATTATCCAGTAAAACCGGTTCACTGCGCCATGTTCGTGTTCTGGGTAATAAGTTCTATCAACAGGAGCGAACACAAACACCTGGATAGATTTTGTAGGTTCTATTTACTGGATAAGAGATATGTACACAAGGGGAGTAGCGCTCCTCAACCTGTCTGCTCGTCAACTGCTCTATAGGCGACGTATGGCAAGTGACACACTAACAACTTCCATATGTCGCCAGGCACATTAATTAAGCTTGTGGGACATGGTAATTACATTGCCACACGCTGCTAGCTAGGCTGAATAAATAATATATATAAATGGAGCACATACATAATATACACACATAATATATAATACAGCATACATAATATACATACAACGTTCTTCCCTTGGATCGCTGAAGCGCCACTGTATGAACCTCCTGAGCCATGCCACGCCTTTCAGTAGCTGATGCCACGAGGAGTACCTTGCCCATAGCCTTTTTAGGGTACTCTCCCCCTGGTCAGTGCTCGATGCCAGTACTGTTGCATCTCTTTTTACCTCCGGGTCTCCATCTGCAAGGTAAAGAATCGGCTTTGGGTTTTTCGGCCTATTGTTTTCTCCCAACAGGAGAAAGGGGTATCCATGATTCCGTCTGCAGTCCCTGTTCATTTCTGCCCCATATGCAGTTCACGGCTGGCATCATCAGCTGGGTTTTGGGTGGAGCTCACATGTCGCCATTGTTCTGCGTAAGAATTCTCATGTATCGTTGCAATTCGGTTTGCCATAAGGTATGGAAGCTCCGTTCAGTGTTTCGAATGTATTGAAGGGTCACCATGCAGCCTGTCAAGAACACTGATCTGTCAATCTGCAACTCTAGTTCTTCTCTCAGTTGCATGCCTGCTTTGGCCGCCAGCACTGCTGCACATAGCTCGAGCCGAGGTTTGGTTTGCTGTTTCAGAGGAGCTAGCTTGGCTCTGCCACACACAAAAGAGGTAGAGTGGGCTCCATCTCCACTTGTGATCCTGAGGTATGATATAGCACCATATGCTTGCTGGGAGGCGTCGCAAAAGTGGTGCAGTTGTACCGTCGTTATTGGATTTGCGCATTCAGGCTGGTAACATCGCGGGATACGTACTTGAGACAAGTGGGGAAGTTCATTTAGCCACTGCCGCCAAGCGGCTCTGTTGTGTTTGGTCATTTGCTCATCCCACCCGATGTCTCGCCTGTACTAGTCCTGGAATATGATTTTGGCTCGTATGGTGCTCGGGGCGATGATTTCTAATGGATCGTATATGGAGCTGGCCATACTCAGTTGACCTCGGTTCTTCTGCAGCTTCGTCTGGCTCTGGATTCGGACTGCAAGCTCATCATTCTCTAGATCCCACATGATTCCCAATGCTCGCTCAGCTGGGGGCCTGTCTTCCTTAAAAAGTACTCCTTTTACTTCCGTGGCACTTTCCGTTTGTTGGACTGCTCTGAGGACTCCTTTGTGGTTGCAGATCCATTTTGTGAGTGTGAACCTGCCTTTCTTCATCAGCTGCCTCAGTTGGTGAGTGACTGCCGCCTCCTTCCCTGGTGATGCTAGTGAAAGAAGCAGATCATCGACATAGAAGTTGCGACATGCTTTCTCAATTTCTTCATGGAGCCTTTGCCCGTGGTCTTGGAATGTTCGTCGTAGTGCATATCCAGCACATGATGGGCTCCACGCTTCCCCGAAGAGATGTACCTTCATCAGGTAAGTGACCGGGTCTCCCGATAGTTGGTCGTCTGTCCACCAGAGGAAGCACAGGGCGTCTCGATGCTCAAGCAGTACTCGTACCTGGTGGAACATACTGTAGCCTCGATATCAGCCATGAGTGCCATCCTTTCTTGTCTGAACCTAATGAGGACTCCCATCAATTTGTTGTTGAGGTCTGGCTCTTGCATCACTTGGCTGTTCAGGGACACTGACTCATACGTTACTTCACATTCAAAAACTATTCTCAACTTCTCGGGCTTATTTTGGTTCAATACCGGGTGATGTGTGAGATACCAGGTTTTCCCCGGTACAATGGTAAGCTTTCGGATTGGGACTCTATCAGCATGTCCCTTGTTGATCAGGTTTTGCATCTCTTCTCGATATCTTTGACGGAGGTCTGGATATTTCAGGAGACGTTTCTTCAAGCTCGCTAACCGTTGCTCAGCTAGTTTCCTGCTATTCGGGAGTCCCGGCTCTTCATGACAAAACGGTATGGGAAGTTGATAGTGCCCGTCCACCCTAATCACTGAAGTTGACCACAGCACCAGGACACTTCTGTCTTCAACAGAGATGGGGTTTTCATTGCAGTAGGCTGAGTCAAATTCCCAGAGGTGTCTGACCTGTTTCTGTAAACGTGTCTCCAGTCTCAGTGGCTTTTCTGAGATGAGGTGGTTGATTGCTAAGTGGTCGCTTATTGCCGGTCCAATCGGTCCATTTATGGGCCATCCTATTAGAGTGCACACCGCCAACGGCTCTCCGTTCCCCCCGGTCTTTACTTCTAACGGTGTTAGGGCTTGTCGTACATCTAGCTCTATCAGGAGATCCACCCTTTCCGGGGCATGGAGCGGTGTGGTTCCTTGGAGGTGCCTCCACTTGGCAACAGCTCCGACGCTAGTCACCTTCAGATCCATCTCTTTGGCCTTCACGCTCTTCGTCTCTTTCAGGATATTGCCTCTGGAGATTGAAACAGACTTCCCTGTTATTCGTAGTCGGTTGGCTAGGCTCTCAGTGCAGTAAGACTTGTTGCTGCCTGAGTCCTAGAGTGCTCCGGTGATCACTGTTGTATGCGTGTCTCGCCTTATCTCCCCGACCTTGACCTTTAATATGGGGAGTGCAACTCTGCCTGGATCTGCTAGTCATATGTCGTAATCTTAGGGCCCCTCGCACTAGTTATTTATCGACTGTAAGTATCTCTGGTCATTTATACGGGTTTTCTCGGTTCGTGGTTACCAGTGCAACCTGACTGTTTTCAGCCTTTTTCTCCTTGACTCTCGAGCTGGATTTCGTTTTTCATGGCTTAGCTCCACTGGTCGTTGATTTCGGTGCCGACATAATGGCTTTGAGTTGACAGTCACCTATCTTCTGCCGCTTGTGGTCGGGCGACACTTCTGACTGGTGTGCATCTATGGTAGAAGCTCTTTTCATCCCTTGAAAACGAGCTAAGAGTTTCTTTCTTGATGGTTCTTCCTGGTTTGGCTTGTCATTGCGCATATACTTTCACGAGAAGTGCAGGAGCTTCAAGTGGAAACTATAGTAGCCATTTATGCCGCATCTTGTCTTCTGGATGCACTCGGTCATCCGGTGAGCGCGATCTAAGAAGGCGAAACAGCGACGTTCATCACGTACTAGTGAATCGCGCTCCAGTCGACATGTTGAGGAATGCTTGGCATCTCTGCAGAGGATGATATAGTTTTAGGATAACCTCGCTAGTCTTATAACTAACAGTCCATTGTATGAACCCAAGTACTTTGTTTGCCTTGTTTCGAGCAAAGACACTTTGTTGACTTGGTTAAGATTCCTACTTATCATTACTCCTAAATCTTTCTCACAGTCAGATTTCTCTATAACAACGTTTTTCATCTGATATCTGGTTTCTCTATTTACATCTCCTAGAGTCCTAGACTAAGTACTTCACATTTCTCCACATTAAACTTATTCTGCCATTTTTTCGACCTTGCGAAAAATTTGCTTAGCTCTTCCTGTAGTTTTGCGGAGTCCTCGTCAGATTTTATTAAACGCCCCATTTTAGTGGCATCAATAAATTTGCTTATGTTGCTGTCTACGTCTATATCTATGTCGCTTATGTATATAATAAATAGTAATGGTCCAAGTTCAGCGTCTTGGGGTACTACACTAGTGACGTTACCCCAATCGGATTTAGTGCATCTTCTCAGGGTTAGACATCTGGGTTTTGTCTACAACGTCATTGGAGGAATGCATAAAGCTCCAATACTCGCGATGGCTTTTCCCCTTTGAAAGTAGGAAGCCGTATGTCTCGGGAGTGTAAGTCTGACATAACCCTGTCCGGCACCTTCCATGGTTCCTTACTCTTTATTTCTGCAGACTGTGGTGGTATAACCTCAATTTTGCGGAGAGTGGGTGTGGTCGTATCGCCTTGGTTTCTTCCATGGCTTCCTTTTTTCCTCACCGGTTGATCCTCCCCCCGATGAGGCTGTTCACCTGCTGCAGGTTTGCTCTGTTGGGTCTTCCTGACAGGGTCATTGTCCTTCCTTGTAGCTGCAGGCTTGTCTACACCTTCTTTGGAGATGAACTCTTCAATGTAGTTTTCTAGACCTTCCATCAGAGCACTCCTCCAATGGGTGCTGGTTTCTGGGTTTCGGCTAGTTCCTGGTTGGGGTGAGTCGTGTCTATCGCTGACAGTTGGTACACTTTCGAGATCATATTACTCTTCCGTAGTGGGGCCAGCGAGTAGTGGTTGTCCATCATTTTCCACATCTAGATCTATTTCTTGTGGCCACTCATTGTTATTTATGTCCGCCATTTCGTACAGTTGGGTGCGGTTGTTTGTCATTTGTGGGGGTGCATGGGCACAGTTCAGCTGGTCCTCACAATAGCAAGTAAGTGCATATTGATGTGCCTGGGGGCGTGTTTGGCAATAGCAGCCGTTGCATGCAAAGTAGAATAGGATTACCCTCAACAACCAATTACTAAATGAGCTGTATGCCCTTGCCAGATTTACTGTGAATGAGTATGTATTCTTGATATATATATATATATATATATATATATATATATATATATATATATATATATATATATATATATATATATATATATATATATATAATATTCAGAAACTTCAGTGTGATTTCAAACGCAGCGCCATTGGTGATACTGAGTTTTCAAGGTCGTCTGAGGGAAGAGAGCGCTCCTGCACGTAGTGAGAGCTTTTGGAACTGGGCCTATACGATATTGAATGTAGTTTGCCGAATTAATAATGATGCGATTCATGAAGTTAAGGGACTATTATTAAATTTGAAATTATTATAGATCGTTTATCAGTCTGAATAATGTCAAGGGTGTCCCAAGAAAGTTATTAGTTAGGCGGAAAATATGTCACGTAGGCCTAAGCTATCGCCTTGGGGAGACGCGAGGCTGGCTGGTCCTCAGTCACGCGAAAGCTATAGGACCAACAGGACGTCCCTGAGCGTCCGTCCACAGAAATAGTCAAGTGGTCTAGTCACCTGTGTTGCGCTATTGCAGTATAACAAGTAAGTCTCATTCGATCTCAGATAGGGGTTAGATAGGGCAGTGATAAAGTTATTAAGAGCTAACAGTGAGTTAATTTCAGGGTTTCTGTCAGAACCCACTTGACTGTGAGAGTGATGACTGCTAGAGATTGACTGCCGTTTGAGACTGCCGTTGATGATTGATGATTAGCGATTATCACCCTTGGAACGATCAGTGCAGGCTTGTCACTGGTTAGCCGGGTAGCAAAGGATCTCTTGAGTGAACGAGTGCTCCCGACAACTAAAACGACACGGGACCAGCATCAGCATTGGGTGATCAGTTCTTACCACGTGGGTGCACAACACCACGTGTCCTTGGTCAGCTAGAAGTATTACCTACTGGCCATAGTCACCTGTGGGCGTTCTCTCTTCCCACCCATGGACGCACTGAGAGTACACTGAGGCTATCTGAGTAAATTAATGGTCACACACTGAGACCAGGAGTTTAGGGGATACCTAGAGAAACATTTTATCTCCCTTATTACTGGTGTATGTTGAGTTGGGTGGAGCATGGTTCACGGGTATTGGTGGACCCACTAACATCTCAATAATAGTGGCAATATTTTTGTGTGTAGTTAGTACCATTTTTTCAGTTACTGATATTATCTTGACGTGTGTAGTAATAGTTCTTAAATGAATTTGATAGTATTGTTTTTTGAATGTTTGTGTCACTAAGTGAAACCAGAGTGATACTGTGATTTAATTCCTTTAATGCATTTAATTTTTCTTTATAATTCCGATCTCAGGTATAACCTTTGTTCCCCAGAGTAGTGGTTAAGTTAGGTTAGGAAGTGTGCATCTGTTGGGGTGATATAATTTTGTTGAGTGCCCTTAAGGCCTATTCATTGTAGAGTTATTAATTTCTATTTTTTTTATACCATTTTCTCAGTGGTTGATATTATTTTGTTGAAAGCCCTTAAGGCCTGTTTCATGTGTGCAAGCAACATTTCTTAATACTTTAAATTTATTGTTGTCCTGAGTTTCTAATAATTTCAATATCATGTATAACTTTTATTCCCCAGAGTAGTGTTTTAAGTTCAGGTTAGGAGGTGCGCATATTGGTGTACCATTATTTGATTGTGTCTGTAGTGTTGGAGGGAATATAAGTGTCTAAATTTTACAGTGTGTCTCATTCATCCCAGTCACAGACGCTATCCTTCCACGGGTCACGGACAATTCATTTTGTTTAGTAAATTTAAGTGTTCTTGTGCTGGTTCGGGATTTTTCTCAAAGGGGCGCTTCCACTGCAATTACCATCTAATAATCTTTAATAAACCCCAAGTCAAGTGAGAAATTAAAGTCCAGTAATTCCGACCGGTTACATATATATATATATATATATATATATATATATATATATATATATATATATATATATATATATATATATATATATTATATATATATATACAGTATATATATACATACATATATATATATATACATACATATATATACATATAT